TCCTGCTGAGCTCACTTTAGCATGCTGATTGCCAACGGGGAATACTTGACTGTTTTCCTTTCTAGGGCACGTTGTTGGTTTGTGTGTGTGAGCATGATTATTTTGAAGTCCTGCAGGTTCATATATCTGCTGTATCATCAATACCGCTGATATTTATCATCAAGCGCAAACTTGGTTTTATTTCCTCTCTTCTGTTCCACAAACAGATTTTTATTCTACATTATGCATCTGCTTATTCATGTATAATCAGATATGTAAGAAGGAGATGTTTTCTAAACTTACACAAGTGGTGGAGGCCTTGAGTTTCAGACTGACAGCATTTTTATCCTGGACCGCCTCTTTGCTGACGCAGATGACATCATCCTGTGGCACCGGCTGCAGAGAGAAACCAGAACTAGTATATTATCTAATGACTTCTCCTTCTTACTGTGCATGACGTGAATTTTTGGCATCAGCCCAAGTGTACAGAATTATTGTGGCCTGTGTCCTTTACATGCTGCCAAACACAGAACGCCATTTGTTGGACATTAAACTTTTCCCGTCTATTATAAGCAAATTCTTTTGTTTTGTTTTGATTGCATTTAAAGTGATCTAAGAGGAAATCCAAATGTGTACAGCATGCCTAATAACAAACGTGTTTGAGAACATCAGAAGGAAAAAAAACTAAAGATAAATTGTTTATATTTGTATCCACAATATTTGTAAACAACACCAAACAAATGTGTCCTGTGGAGACACAGTTCTCAAATGTATAAAGCCACATCCTTACTGCCATACTTCCTTTTCTGCTTAGAGAAGTATCATTTGTCAATTGTAAAATGAAAAAAATTGGTGTACAGAAAGGTGTGAAAGGTGGTATGATAACATCTATTTTCATACCATGGTGTACTGTGAAACTGGTATTCTGCTGTAACCCTAGTGTAGCCATACAGACACAGCGGGACTGCATATTACAGGCCAGTTACCTTGTAGGTACAGACTGAATGATCTGAAGGCCCCCCTGTACATTTACCTGTGGTCTGTTGCCGGGGCCGTCACCTCTAGAAGGTGCTGGGGTCTCTGGCTCCATCTTTTTGTCATCCGCCTCTTCTTGACCTGCAGGGCCATTGTCGTTGACTCCAGGCTCTTCTGTAGTAGCTGTTACTGTAGTCTGGTTGGTTGGTGCTGGAGTAGGCAAAGCCCAGATTTGGCCCTGTGAATCCACTGGCACCGAAAAGTCAGTTTAACTTTAAATGGTTGGTTTGTACAGTTTGAACAGTTTTAATAGTTTTTGTAGTGTTATTAATGCATGAACTGCTCAGATGAGTCACATATAGGGTCTAATGCATTAATGCTGTTAGTGAAGTGCATTTTAAATGTTGATTTACTGTTTTCCTGTAGGATGTGAGTGAAGCGGGATGCTTATTTTTCCCACCAGTGCTACTCACTGATACATCCAGCTACAGAGTAAACCTATGAAGTATTTTTATAAATGAATTGAAGTACTATTTAGAGTTTCTTACAGGGAGCTTTAGTTGTCTTTGCGATCATGTCTCCTCGTGCCTCTGCTCCCAGAGGTTCCACCGTCTTTGCGACAACTTCATCTGCCAGTGCCATGACTCCTGCTGTAACATCAAATAAAAATGTCACTTTTGTAAAAACAAAATAAATGTTGTAATGATATTGTCTAATAGAAGACGCAATAGCATATCATCATACCAGCGTAGGTGTAAATAGATTTTTTTTGTTTTATTTGAAGATATTGGTTAAATGACCCCCTCATCTAAAACCAACAAATTTTTGAGTGTCACAATCCTTAGTCGCTTTTGTCAGGGTGTCGGTTTGTGGATGTGGTGCGACATTAAAATGATGAGTATCAGAACTGAGGAGCCGTATATAATTAGTTTAATAGCTCACTTGTGCACAACCGGAGCAGATAAACTGTCCCTCAGTACAAAAGATGAATCAGTCAAAGCTCTGACCTCCTTTCACTCCCAATGGGACAAATGCTCTGAGCTTCTCAGGGAAATCATTTGGCTCATGACAACCATGCTGTGAGCTATACAATGGACTTGTGCCATAGAGTTGAAATTCAAATTTAGTATCCACAGATCCAGTTAGTGCTGTTAGTAAATTGCACACAGCAAGGTCACACTTACCAAAGTGAGCAATCTGTTATTACATTATCACAACAGATTCATTAAAATAAAACTGTCTTAATAGTCAGCACTGCTTTTTCTGGATGCAGCGCTCACGTGCTGATGTGTTAGAGGACCAAATACTAAAGGCATGGATGTGTTTATAGCCGACGCCAGATTGTCACGTATTTAAAAAAGGTTGGGAAGGACATGTCCTTGTTTGTAGCAACCTTCTGTGTGATTTAGGCTGATAAGCCAAGCTCCTCAGAGGAATTGTGGTATTATCCCACACTGACTCACAATTGTTCTGCAGGAATGATTTAATAAAGTTGCAATGTGAGGTGGTAACTCATTGCTCAGATGGTCTAGTTTTCACCAGTGTGCGATCTTAATGGCAGTTGTCATCCTAATGCATGAACTCATGCAGTATGTGAGAGCTCTTCGGTGTGCTCACAGTACAATTTCTTTGTGTCCTCAGAGGCCTCTGCAGTGATGGAAAATTGGGTAATAGATCTTATTACAGTGATAACTGATACTCTCAGGTCCCTGGATCACATCATGAAGTCATTTACTTTGAAATGCAATCTTTCCCACTCGTTAGTTACAGTAATACACTTCAGGATAGGCAAAACTGGGATGCACAGAATAACCTTATGAAATATATTGATGTGAGTGGACTGATTTTTCCATCAACCCTGTAAAGCAGTTGGATGTCCTGATTACACGCCAGGTAAGGTTGCCATGAAAAACAGCGCTTTTTTTCTGAATTTTTGAATTATGTAATCGGCCATTATACCATTTTTTCCATTTTCAGGGGGTGACTCTGGGGTAAGAGTCATTAATAAACACTAAATCAAAGTCTCGATAGGATATTTCTATTCAGACCTGTTCAGCTGTAAATGATTTAACATATAATATTGTAAAAACATTGATTCTCTGTACACATTTTTAAAGTATGCTACCACACCCTGCAGTCACTGAGCTAATGAGCCTTAGTTCTTGGTTGCAGCATGCATTCCTTTTACCCAGATCTCCCTTTTTTGTCTAACAACAACAGCATTACCTCACTCTCAAAACCTTCCCATAATACCTTACTCTGCGATCTCATTACTTCTCACTCTCTCACATTGTCTCACTGGTTGCCAGATGGAGTTCATGACTGGTTTCAGGCTTGTAATTGAGTTGAGTTAAATATGGACCTTATTTTCACTTTGCAGTGTGATTTTTACACCTGACCTTAAAATATGACTTGAAATTTGTTTATATTGTAATAATTTCTAGGAGCTCAGCCTTTGTTTACTACAATATTTGTGCCATAAGAGACAGCCATTGTGAGATTACCTGCTCCTCTTGAGACAGATTTGGGGAGACCAAAAGGAGCCATCACTTAACTTCATGCTACAATACTACCGACCATTTAGGTGTTTATAAATGCTTAGAAAAATGGTTAAGACTTAGTGTTGTTGGAACATTGATTTAATTTAGGACTATTTGCATTGTGTTTGCTTGATTTATAACTAACAGGTTTTGCTCTTTGTACAATAGGAATTGTTTTTCTCTTATGCTACATGTTGTGTCCTCGTGGGCTCAGTGTCTCTAGGGACTACTTGAGCTTTCCACATGAGGCACATATATTAGCACAGTGGTGGCACTCTGACACATCCAGTGACTTCCTTAAATAAAACATTGTTTCAGGCAAGTGGCAAAAGTACTGAGTAAACGGTGTGTGTGGTGTGCTAGCAGGTGGGGCAGTAATCCTTGATGAAGTCCTGTGGCATGCTTAGCAACTGTCCACAGCAGCTGTCTGTCTGTACAGTATGTACACAGGGGAAGTAACTTTTCAACACTTTATGCCTCTTTCAGTTGAATGAAAGCACATTTGTAAAATTTGGCTTCCACATTTTTATAAAGCAACACTTGTTTAACTTGAGACACAATAGCACAAGGCCTCCCAACACAGACAGTAAACTCTGGCCGGCCATCGCTTTTTACGCACAGGCAAATCTTACTAACAGAGCAGAGCCCAGATATAATAAAAACTATGGATTTACTTTCCTCTCATGACCAACGTTTACAGAAGCATCATGATCTGAGTGACTGCCTTGTCTTGTTTACTTCTGATTTTAGACCTAAAAGCTTCAAATCAGTTATTAATTTCAGGCAAACATTTGATTTATGGAAGACTAGTTGGGAACAGAAAACCACTTTCCTGTTCTTTGGAGGTTAAATTGTCTTGACCCGTACCTTTGTGTCGCAATTTTTTTCTGAGTGAGGTCAGCACACGCCCTGATGGTGTGACCTCTGACCCCATCACCGCTCACAGCGCTCTACCTTCCACTCACTCATTCAACAGGAGCCACAGTTAAAGTGATTCTTTGCTGTTTTTATGGAACTGTTATACAAATAAAATGTGTCCACAACAACTGAGCCTTTCATCACCACAAATGTCCACACCTTCTTGTGTTTTATGACATTGTTTTCTGTTAAAATGGCCAAGATATTAGTCATCCAACACAACAAACCTAATCAGCCCTGGCTCCATCTCTTATACAGCGTGGGACCTGACTTCATTGCTCTCTAGAAGTTTTCCCACCACATTGCTCTGAGTGATGGCTATGGTCTGGAAATGATCCACCCCACATCCCCCATCTCTTGGGACTCTGGATGAAGGAATGTGGCAGGCTTTGGAAGAAGATGGGCCTGAGGCTCCACACCCCCCTCCCTGTCTGCTTGCCCTTTCCCAGTCACGCACAGCTAATCCCAGGCATCTATTAAGGTGAGGTGTAGGTGTCAGCCTTCACACCACCCACCACATAAAGTGTAATGGAGCCATATTGTGACAGCTAAGTTCTCCCTTGTCCCAAAACGGCTTTGCATTCTTTCAGTTTCTTAAGCTTGCTTCATAGTGTATCTGTATGAATGAACATGACTTCTTAAAATAACTTGTAAAGGAGACATGCTTCTTCTGCCTCTTTTACAGCCTGAGAACTTTACCAGTCGAGTTCTTCACCGACCAAATTTATCATAGTTTCTCAAGTGAATAGAAAATCTTTGTTTCAGATTCACCCACTTCTAAATGCAGCCAGTGTTCCCATTCATCTGCAACTGCTGAACATCTTTCACTGTTTTGTCTGTATGTGTGTCTTTATAAATGAAACATAAATCAGCTGTTGGATGTGTTCAGTGGGTAAATCCTCCTACAGCTTGGCCTTCATGCCCAGTTTGGCTTCGAGAGAGGTCCTGCGCTACAAGTTCAGGAGGGATGAGCCCCAAAAATATGGCCTGTCCCTCAAAGGCCCCTGACCTCTCTCTAATTATGTTAAGGAAAACACTGTGCTCTCTAATGGGGCATGGTGAGGTGGTAATGGCTACACAAGTTAGTGGACTACCGTGGTATAGTCCCAACAACTGAGGTTCTACTAGCGCCCTCTCCACCAGCATAGTTACCATATAACATAATGTTTTTGTAGAGACCCAAGAAACCCATTTATCTGAGGTTGCCAGCTTTATCAGGTGGAAAAATACATTTTTGTGCTTGTTGTTAAGCTGAATGTAGATGTCCTAATTGTTCTGTGTGTGAGAGAGTCTGTCCAGCCAAGACAGCTTCTATAAACACTCTCAAGACATATGGCCTCCATTTTTTTGCAGGCTAAGTAGTGTATATATCCTGGAAATGTAACCATAATCACTTTGCAGTACCTTTTCATCTAAAGTTTCAAAATGGGCTCCCCTAAATTATGCCATTATTTGAACAGTGTAATTTTGTACTGTTCAGTACAGAAAAGAAATTATTGTAGTTGTTTACTTTCAAATGTTGCTCCGAATGTTAGCTTATAGTTTATATTGTGAAAATTATGTTAATACTTTGCAAAATAACCATAATTTTTTTCAACTTGACAATATTTTGAATTAATGAACGCTTCATTCATCTATAGTGTTGCTTTGACCATCTCCCATATTTAGTATCCTGCTGCTCTTGAAGAATTTTAATGTGAGAGTAAAGAGCGCATGGAGGAATGTGACATTGGAGCCCAGTGCCTTATGGTTAAACATGCCCTGCAACTCTACCCTCTCTGAAACAACACACTGCTGACCCCACTATTTTGACCATCCCCTCCCCTGTTGTTCCTGTCACAGCGATTAATGGCACAACTCAGGCCATTCTCCTCTCTTGGCAGAAAAGCAACTGGATCTCATGGTTTCAATCAGGCCCTTGAAACAGCACTTAGTTCATCCAACGCTGCCCAGCTGCAGCATTCACCCAACCCAATCCTGAGGCCGCTGCAGCTCCTTATCGAGAGCATGGTGACCATAATCAGGAAACATGACATCTGCTTTCAATTGGCAGCAGTATATCACCCCCAGCTCAGCACACACCCACCCTCACAATTGCCGTCTACAGTTTCACCCTTTTACCGCCTTGTGCATAACCGTGAATGAGCCTGGTTTGAGTGTAAGCAGGTTTATTCTTAGGGGATCCTGTTGCAGAGTGAAGCAGATCTGTGTGTCAATAGCTTAAAAGCTCAACATTGATTTTGCCCAGAAAGAATTTGAGACATATTGTATCTTTCTAAAATCTACCAGAGTAATTCCTTGAACACACGTCGAGGGGTGATATTGAAAAGCAGCCATAATAGGTCATTAAGGTGTTCAACTAAAGTGCACTTAGTCACTGAGCAAAGATTTTGTTCTCTGCTATTGAAACATTATTATTTAAAAGTTGCTGTCTGTTACTCAAGCTTTGACTTCCATGTATGTAAATGACAGATCAGGGCACATACCTGCACCCTCTGATTTGATAAAGCAACTTGTTTGCCTGTCCTTTGTCAACACCTTTTGTATGTGAATAAATAGAGTATAAAGTATACAAAGTACGAAGGCTGGAGTTCAAAGATAAAGCTGTTGAAAGCTGAGCAGAAAAGCAGGCTTCTCCCTTTAGGACTATCCCAAGTAAAGAGATCCTCAGCATGTGTGCGTGTACCCAGATGTACTTGTCACCACTGGGTCAATCTGCTCTGGGATCTGACTTGCTTCACAAGAGGAATGACCACTTTATTGTCAGTATTGTTTCTGTGTTTCTCTGCTCAGTGGATACTACACAAACAATGAGTTACATAATTAAATGCTCTGGGGCTGTCGGCACAGCTGCGCAGGGTGTGTTGCTTAACTAGAGAACCTCCTAAACCCACTTCACAGCACAAGCAGAGCTTAAACCACATTACAAAAATGAAGTACAGTTTTCAGATATTTAAAATGAGACATTTTAAGCATGAGACATTCCAGTCATGTCACAGACAGCAAATTCAGTTGAAGCATCTTCCATTCTTTGTATATTTCTTCAGCTCACGCCTATCTCTGCTTTTCTGAAATCTGCTAAACATTCCCAACAGGGGTTTTCCCTGGAGTTTCTGATCATCTCCTTTTAAGCCTCTACTACCGTGACCCCACCTCCAGGTTGTCTCGGTAACCTTTATGCTCGCTAACATCTGTGAATCACAGTAATGTTATACCGTAAGTCCATCTTTCCTCCATTTGAGTAACTTTGCCCATCTCCTGGGTTGACAAGACAATTCAGCAAGAGGGACTTTTGTCTGGCTCAGGAGACAGATGGTCTGTGCTGTAGCTGACTTGTGACTTTTTTTTCTTTGCTCTGTTTCTCATCTGTTTGGTGTCTTACGTATATCTGCCCCACTGTTATTCACACACTTAGAGCTGCTTTGTTTGTGATTTTCAGAGAAGATAAACATTGCAGTCCCCACGAGAAATGGATTTATTGGTTGCCTCTGGTGCAGAATTTAGAGGCTATAGGGATGTCAAGGCAGATTTATTTATCAGAGGCGATGTAGCTGCTTCTGTTAATGATCTCATTCCCGCATGAACAACACAACAGGTTTGAATTAGGCAATTTAGTGTGTGATTCTTTTCCAGCTAGAGCAGCTGGAACTTAGGATAATGCAGATGATAGTAGTAGTTGCTGTAGTTCATTGTCACCTCAGTCTTTTTTTTTTTTTTTTGACATTTTGGGCTGAACCTTGTCTACTATTGAAGGGTGAAACTGCTCATCTCACTGAGAAATTTCATATATATTTATATTTCCCCCCTCTTCACATGATTGTTAATCTCTTTCTGCCACTGCAAATCTAAAACTGCAGCTGTATGCAGTCACATGTCCAGATTGATATCGACGTACACCTTAATGCTTGTCCAAGTACTTAAGCAGTTATTTTTTTCATTTGTAAAATCATATACAGTACTCTTGCCTTACTTGGTCCTGTGTTTTGTAGCTCTTCATTCTATCATGAATTAATGTTGATGTTGTTGGCTTGAACTAATGTGGACTGATTTGAAACTTGGACTGAATTCAGAAGCTGTTTTCTATACCTCTGCCTGATATACATCGGTAAAAACTAAAGTTAATTGTGGTGATAATGTCAATGAATAAGTAATTCAAACTAATCACAAAAATAAAACTGATGGCTTTGTGCAAAGGTCTGCGATTTCTCAGAAACAAACAAACTCTTTGTACAGTTAATGGAGTTAATACAGTGGAGAAGTCTTGCTTTGAGAGAGACAATGAACTCAAATGTGTTATATATAAACAATTTTTATGTCAGTTCTTATGTGGCTGTAACCTGTATGAGAAACATGTCAGCTTTACGTGTTAACCATCATCCCCTACTATATCAGCAGAACCACAGTGAAGTGTACACCATCCAAACTCCATGTCCTCCTCTCATGCACACTTCAACTGGCCTCCCATTACAGCTAAACATAGATATGCACATTTCTCAAAGTCCTTGAAGATTATGGGAACTAGGTAAATAAATAGTAAACCTGGCACTAGAGGAAAGTTCACAAATGGTTTAAAATGGAAAGCATCAAGGAAATTCATGATAAAATGCAGACAATTCAATTTTGGCAGATTACTGTGAAGTCAGAAGTCCAGGCTAGAGAGAGTAACTGTAATTCATAATTTAAAACTTCCCTATGCCTCCACACAATTAAAAGCACTTCTATCTAAAACGATCCCTTTGTTTGCCAAGGTATGCTCCACAGTAATGCTTTTCTATCAGCATTTTGGGTAAAGAAAGCTTTTTCTGACCCTTGTTAAAACACATGAAGAGTCGCATGTTACAGATTTGTATTCAGTGTGGAGATAGTATGTTAGCATTCCAGAGATTTGAACAATTGTAGGGTTAAAACCCAGATTCAACTCGGAGACCATTCAGCTAAACACTCCTTTCCAGTCCCACCCCTCTTGGCCCTCCCGTTCTCCCCAGATGGCCATACAATCTCTGAGAAGTTGACCCTCTTTGCATTATGCCATTTGCTACTTACCATTTAAGACTGAGGGGATTAGAAGCAAAGCAAAAGCCAACATTTTGCAGGGTCCTTCTGTTCGCTGTGGAAATGATGCTGCCATTCTCATCCTGAGCGGGCACACGTCCGAGTGAAAAGGGAGGGAATGAAAGAGAGAATGGTAAAGCTGGTTGAGCCTGAGCAGTTTAGAGTTTCCTCGGCACAGAGTGGATAAAGCGCCACTTGTGTTTTGTCAGTTTTTATATGCCTCCCCCCCTGCCAAGGCCCAGCCCTACACCCCATCTTCCACTGGCTACTTTAACCCTTCCTCTGTGCTCCCACCCCTCTAGAAGGAGAGGAAGCAAAGCAGATGGAGGGAAGGAACAGAATTGGCTGTTGTTGGAATGTTGTGTATGTGAAGAAAAAAATGCTCATTGTTTATACTTTAGTCATGAAATATGCAGTTCCAGTGCTTGAATCATCTACTGTAACAGGGTTGCGGCATGTGTGATGTATGGTACTGCAGAAAATGCTTTTGTGCTCAGTGCTCATTACTTCATCTCTTGCTTAGATTGGGTTACAATACTTGAACTGCTAATGCTGTCTGGATGGCAGCAGCAATCCTTCTCACAGTGAAAGGTGATAGCTGACCATAGGCTGTGACACTCTGGTCCTGAATAGGCTTATAGAGAGAGACCATGGAGCAAAATATCAAATCAAAACAAAGGTGTGATCCACTGTTATGCTAATGGTATTAATCCAATTAAGGGGACTGAAGCCCCCACTACTCAGCCAGACCATCAATCAACAGACACCACAGGGTCTGCTAAGTCTTTCACACTCTGTCCTGAAATCAGCCAGACCCCCCCCAAACCCCCTGCAGCTTGGAGCTTCGCTTTTCTTTAGTTACTTGTTTTGCTAGCAGTTTTCCCATGCTCTGTGAGTCACATATATGGAACCACTGATGAAGGTATGCTAAATTAGTTGTTTGAAAACATTTCTCGCCCACTTAGACAAATAAAAAAAGTGACAACAATGAGTTGAAAGAAGTAAACTGGACCAGAGCTAAATCTTGCATGCCTGAGAAACAGTCTTGTAATCTGATACCAGTCTCAGTACCCATAGTCCCCTTGTCCCTGCTTTGGCCCCACCCCCCCACCTCCATCAGTCCATTTCCTTTCTGTTACCCCCACCCCGCTCCTCACCAGACCCTTATCAAACATTCAGGTCAAACAGTAGGGTGCTGAGACGGGCAATTGGCCCCTCACTGTGACTCAACATGAGCTTTGCTAAACACCTCAATAGAAAAAGTAGCATCCCCATTACAGCTGCCACAGCTGGAGAGCAGCAGTCAAGTCTCCCCAGTAAAACATTAAACCTGTCAAGTATTTCTGCTACTTAAGTCCTCATGAATCACAGCTTCCTGTTGGATGGCAATAAGGATAGACTTCCTACCCTCGCCAAAAGACAGCAGGACAAGCCCTAGCACTTTAGTTTCTTTCCCTTTGTATGTTCTTTGATGTAACATCTTTTCTTTCCTTACTGTACATCGCAGTCACAATACATCTGCCGATGTTGTAGATTGTTTCTGACAGGAATATGTATTTTGGTTTCGCTTACAAGTGTGTTTTTACCAGATTTGATGATTGATCCTTTTAGTTCCAAGCACTGTGCAAACACATCTTGGAGCATGTGCATGAAATTCTTTCTGAAATGTATGATGGAATGTCTCCAGAGAATATAGGCACCTGGTTTCAGTATGAAAAGAGAAGTGTTATGCTTTTGTGCTCGTACTTTCTCACGAGGAGTTCCCTTTAGATTTACCCTATACTTTGAAGGCCACAAAAATCCTAAACCATTGCAAAACATTTTGTGAATATCTTTTCTTTTCTTGCAAGCAATTATGGTGTCTCATTTCTTTTATATATTTTTTCATTTTATATTTGTTTTTCTTTTCTTTGTTGCACACAGACACTACACATGCATTCACAGATGCACATCTGTTTTTGATGTCAAAGAGAAAACAGCAAAACAAAGCTTATTAGCTTCCCTTAGTTCTGAGGACTGTTGTACCCGGTACTTCTTACCATTGCTAACTCTAAGAGACGAGACAGTCCAAGTAACTACAAAACAGTGCTGATTTATTCCATGAACACAGGTAAAATTAACATTACATGCTCAGGTATCTTGCACCTCCAAACTGCACACAGGCAGATGCAAGATGAAAGACCCTGAACCCACCAGGCCTATACATTATATCCCCTCGGTTGGGCTAGCCCCATACTACTAAAGGCATTCTCTATTGGTTTGATATCAGGTGACTGACTTGGCCAGTGAAGAATATCCTGTTTTTGTTTTGTTTTTTTGCCTTAAGAAACTCTTGGGTAGCTTTTGCTGTATGTTTTGGGTCATTATCCATCTGCACTATGAAGCAGCATCTGGCTGAATCTGAGCAGAGACTATAGCCTTCTGCACTTCAGAATTCATCCTGATATGCCCATGCCATAACACTGTGTTGGTCTTTGGTTCTTGTTACCATTGCTAACTCTGAGAGACGAGACAGTCCAAGTAACTTCAAAACAGTGCTGCTTTATTCAAAGGATCACAGGTAAAATTAACATTACACGCTCAGGTATCTTCCACCTCCAAACTGCTCGCAGGCTGATGTAAGATGAAAGACCCTGAACCCACCAGGCCTATACATTATATCCCCTCGGTTGGGCTAGCCCCATACTACACAGAAATGTCATCCGGGACGTCTCTGTTACCAGCTTTGCAGCTGGCCATAGCAGTAGTCAAAACATGAAGTAAATCAATGTGTGTGTGTCTGTTGATTAAGTGGTGTGTAGCTAAAAACATTCTCACGACCTCTAGAACATGTCGTGATATTAAACATAAGAACATATTATGGCTAAGTCTACAGTTATACACGTCATAATAATAATATTAAACACCCTGTCTGCTGACAGTCATCAACTCTTCTCTCTAGTTATCCTTGACCAGATGTACCCTGTAGAATCTCATAAGCATGACTAAGCATTTAACAGTCTAACTAGACATCCTGTCTCCACTAAACATTTCTAATACATAAAGTATCTATCTAATTTCTATCTGACTAAAAATACCTAACAGGACTAACTAGCTGCTGAATCTCAGTGCATCAGCCATCAGAGCAGTTTTATAGTTAGCATATACTACAACCAGTTTCTTCAGAGCTCAGTTTCGCCTATCAGGGTGGTCATTCAGCAACTGTCATCACAATTTTAAAAATTTATAAATATACCCCTAAGCTTTTCTAATGACATCTCAAAGATAAAACCAGCCACACTGTGGTATTGAGGGTCCATCCAATAAGTGTCAGGCAGTAGATTTATGGTACTGGATGTTTAAGTTAGTTTGACACTGATCACCGAGGCTACGCTGAGGAGTTCTTGGCCACTATACAGTAAATGGCAGATCCTCCTCATTAACTAAAGAGCTTAAAGAGCAGAATATGTGATGGGGAATATAGTATTCTTTGACTACAGATGGAACTTCAAGCTTGACTGATAGAATAGTAAGTTCATCACCTTATTTAAAACTCACTTTTGTTTAAAATGAAAATCTTCTAAATCTTGTGCATTTTAGTTCTTTCTGAGCCATTTATTTTGGCTGAGAACACACACTCACCAGCAATGGATTAATCTTTAGAGCCCCGGGCAGAACTCGGAACGGGAAGTTGTAAGAAAGTAACTCTGCTAATGTGACAATTTTTTTTGTTTATTATTTGCAACATAGCTGCAGAGATTCATGGTTTTGCTTTGACTCAATTCACAAAACAAAAAGTGCTTTCTGTTAAATTAATGGAGACCTGTTCAAAATTCTCAATGAGAGGATCTTGTTAAATTAATGCAAATCCACAAAGTCAAAGAAATGTGTGCGTTATAAAGTACATTTTTTGAAAAGAGGGAGTTATACATCCTACAAAGCTCACTGATTGGCTGCGTAGGAGGGAGCTGTCTTGAAGTGATTTCATGAGTGCAGGAGGATGAGGAGGGGGAGAGTGAGGGAAGCTTTGGGAGGTGGAGTAATGGGAGGGAATCTCATTTCAAACTGTAGTGAATATTGACTGTTACCTCTCTGGGCGGAGCAACAAGGTCTCTTTCTAGTGAGTGAGTGAGCAGGAAGGAGGAGGAAAAGTGCTGTGTTGATGAGGTGACTTCTTTTCAAAACAAAGTGTATCAGTGATATCCCTTTGTGGTTCAGTTTTGGTTCTGTGTGTGTCTGTTTCATGGTGTACAGACCCCCATATGGCCCTGCAGATATTACACACACACTTCTAGATTTGTGAGAATGCTCATTAACATAATGCATGTGTTAATTCGCTTATCCGAACCATGACAACTAAATGCCTAACTCATATCCATTGCCTAAACCTAATTCTAACCTTAGCTCTAAAATCGAGTCTTAACCCTCAGTTCTTTGAAATTGTGAGGACTGGAAAAACATCCTCACAATGGCAAAATGTCCACACAATAATGGTATTCAGCTAAAATTTGTCCACACAACACAGACATGTGTACACACCCCCTCAAGAGGCAGGGCTGAACAGATCCCTTTCATCACTGACACATGCTTACCCTTTGCCCTCTTTCTGATCAAAACCTCTCACATAATCTCCTTCTCTTGTTCAGTTTGTGCTCAAACTGGTGTAAACAGTAAATGAAGGAAGAATGCTCATTCTGTCATTGTCAGCTTGTGATAATATGTTTGACCAGAAGGTGGCACCACTAGACTGGTGTGCTGTCCAGATCAACCTCCTGGACATTCACTGCTTCATGCTGTATACCTTGATGGAACTGAAACCACTTTCTGCTCCTGTGTATTAAGAGAATCCAGCTGTTGGTTAGTGAGTAATGAAGACATTTGTGACTGTAGAGTCTGCAGGTGGCCAAGTTGTTGGTAGTGGACACATGAGCAACTTAAATCTTGTTATGGGGTGGTATGACACAAGTGTATCTTTATCCATTGACGGTGGCTGCTGGGTTTCTTCTCTGCTTAAAGGAACCACAGCCCCTAAGGAAATGCAGCTTTATGTGTATAAAAGTTAAGGGATGTCATGGTGGCGCAGTGGTTAGCGCTGCCACCTCACAGCAAGAAAGTCCTGGGTTTGAGCCCTGGTTGATCCATGACCTTTCTGTGTGGAGTTTGCCTGCGTGGGTTCTCTAAGGGTACTTCGGCTTCCTCCCACAGTCTAGAGACATGCAGCTTACGTTGTGTGTGTGAGTGACTGTTTTTCTACATGTCAGCCCTGTGATATACTGCCGACCTGTCCGGCATGTACCCTGCTTCTTACCCAATGTCAGCTGGGACGAGCTCGAGCCCCCCTGCGACCCTGTTCAGGAATAAGGCCTATAGATAATGGATGGAGGTGGTGTAATGGGAGGGAATCGCATTTCAAACTGTAGCGAATATTGACTGTTACCTCTCTGGGCGGAGCAACACACTCATTCACGCTATAGATAATGGATGGCTGGATAAAAATCTTTTGTCCAAGAAAGCTATTTTGTTTACTGTGTGTGCAAATATCATGCATTCCTACACAGTAACACTCATCACATTCTCAAAAGTACCCCTGACTTCAGCAGCACCTCTCTGACACAGTCTTAGGAAAAACAGAACATTATTAGCTTATGACAAGTGGTATTTCATGTAGGGCTACTGTATTGAACGACTGCTGCTAATGATTATTTAGTAATCCATGAATCTTTCATAGATCCATGCTGATGATATTATGTTGTCAGGTTGTATGTGTCCATTCGTCCGTCTGTCCATCCAGCCCAATCTCATGAATGTGATATCTTAGAGCACCTTCAGGGAATTTCTTCAAATTTGGCATAAGTGTCTATTTGGACTTAAGGATGAACTGATTCAATTTTGGTGATGGCAGGCCAAGGACACGGTGATGTCATGTCTATCCCATTCTTGTGAATGCAGTATCTCAGGAACATCTTGAGGGAGCCTCTTCACATTTAGCACAAATGTCCACTTTGATGGACAAGCTGATTATATTTTGGTGGTCAAAAAAGTTTCATTATCTTTAGTCTGTTCCATTCCCATGAATTTGACTGGTTGGTGAATAGATGTTGTTATTATATAAAATGTTGGAAAATAATGAAAAATTCCTTAGAATTTTCAACAGCCCAAGTTGTATTTTGTTTGTTCGTTGAACTCAACCAACAGACCAAATCCAAACACATTCAGTTTACTATTATATGTGAAAAGAAATGCATTAAATCCTCACGTTCCAGAGAATGAAACCAGTTAATTTATTGACTAATTGTTTCAAGTGTTGCCATTCTTTTTTTTTTCCATCGCTCTTTAGTATATATGAAATAAAGTATCTTTATTTAGTGCCTGTAATGCTATACTGTTATTCAGCTGGTGGCACACTCCACTGTTAGCTAAAGGACAGTGAAGCAGAGCCATCTCCGTTGATTATTAACACAATCTCTGCTGGATTGTTCAAGGTGCATAAAATGTTTTTACATCCATTCAGCATTCATTCCACAACTGGAGCCACAGTGTGAATTATTCTTCATGATCTGCAGTCTGCGTAAGGTCTGTTTTCCCCATGAATCCAGTATTCTGGGCAGCAGGAGCAGCTCAAGATTTGTTATACCTGACAGTGTACAACCAGTAACTTTACAGTAATTAAGCTTTGCACTGTTATTTTAGTCTATGGCTTAGAAATAAGATAGTTACATCAATCATGTTTCAGTGTAAAATCAAATATCATGAAAATTGCCAGACTAATTAATTGAAATTTAAAATTGAAGACTAATTAATGGCTGTGGTAGCTCCATAAACGTGCCTGGTACCATCCAAACCTACAGTATATCAAGTCTGTCTATGTGCAGCTTGCTCAGCTCTTGGTAGAGGAAGTTTGAGTCCTAATGATCCTCCCATGCTTGTGCATGTGTGCGGATTGTGGGGGAATCGCTGGCTGCTGAGTGTATGCTCTCTGACAAGCAAAGAGAGAATAGAGGAAAGATGAGGGGTTAGAGCCTGGCAGGGCTGATGACACCCCAGCCTGGGTCTGACAGGTATGGGTTGGGGAGCCTGGATGTTCATACAACCCTCCTTGTCCTCTCCCTCCTCTTCCTTCCTCTCTCCCCTCTCTGCTCTGCTTGCCCAGAACCCTGAGGGTTAAACATGAATAATGAATTTTGGCTGCTTAAGGCAGGTGCTCAGGAGCCCCTATACACTGCTCACATGCCATAACAAACACTGTCACAGTATGGCTGCTGTGCAAACCATTCCTCTTTTTGAGAGACTGTTCATCACATGGGGTTGTGTTTTCTTTTTTTTATGAAGTTCAAAGGGATTTAGTGATTTCTCTCCAGGATATTTCTTTGTTGTTTCACAAGCTTGGCTCCTATTGGTATCAAATATGCAAATCTCTCAAGACAAAGTGTGCTTTAATGGTGGTGTGTTGTGTTTTCCTTTGTATTAACAATTGTAATTCAGCTGTCCTTCATAGTTAAATGATTGGCAGACTTTGACTCTCAGCATTGGTCATGTTTCTCAAAATTTAAAACCCTGTTTCCCACAAACCTTGTTGCTTCCTTGGCACAGAGGACACTGAACCCCTTTCCCATCACTGGATCATTAGTTTTGCTGCTCGGAGTTAGTTGATCCATTTGTTTTCCTTTGGCTGACTCCAGAAAAAAGCCTTAGATATGTTTTGTTCTGGAAGCACAATGCCCTCTTCCTTTGCATTACTGTAAAATAATCCAGCAGAAGCACGTTTACATTCAATCGAACAGACTGCCAAAGCTCTGGCAAATGTAGTGGGGCTAATATTTTCAAAAACGTATTTTTTACAGTAGTCAGATGTTAATTTCTACAAATATTTCTTATAATCTTCATGTAAAAATGTTGCATCACATTTTCATTTTTAAAAATAACAAACTATGCCTGAGGTTCCTGCACTGTAACTAAGATGAGGATTAAAAATTGGCACAACAAATCGTATTGACCATTTTCAGAGATGTCGAAGTACAAACTCTGAATGATGGATGTGCCCCTGAGATTTAAATTTATCTCTGACATCACCGTCTTGCATTTAGTCTTCACATGAAAACTCCATATCATTTTAACTATTGAATTAGTATACTAATGGTCCATTGACATAATAGGAGTAGATTATCCAGTTGTGTGGCAGAGCTCCGATTGGCTTGAAAGTGACCTTGTCTCTAACGGCAGCACTGTTTTGTATGGGAAATGTAAAACATAGAAAGTCAGTGGCCATTAATTATAAGTTATATGATGATTCTTTGGACAATGAGGCGTATTTTATGTTGCGTTATACAATGCAGTGTTAAAAAATGTTGTACGACTCTGTCAACACAGGCTCAAGGCTGTAGTATGTCATGGAAATGTACTTTCCATATGAATGAAGCATTTTAAGAGCACAATATTTTATCTTCCAGACATTCACTGTGTGGCATTTAGTACATTTTTATATGCAGAGAGACTATGATCAGTGTGATTATTCAAAACCTAGCATCACCACAAAAGAAACGGCCGCAAATCATTTTCATCAACTGCTCATTTAATGTATAACAACGGTACAAAGTGAATCTTTTGCTTGCAAAATAGGAGTGTTTTTATGTACAGTATTTATACAATAATATATAGTTTAAAAAACAGTTTAAATGTCTGACAGTTTATTGCACAACACACACGTTATCAAATCACACATGAAACAATGAGTTCTGTGTCATGTTAACACTTAACAGGAAATGAATTTCTTTTTTATTTATTATCATCCTTTAGATTAACATGAATCAAGTTCCTGTGGTGGGTATATTAACCCCACTGATACTGAATGGATTCAAAGAGCAGTGCTCCAGAATAAAGGAGAGTGACATGATGCGGTGACATTATATGTAATGACGAAACAGCCTGAAGCACAGAAAGATGTTCATATTTCATCATCGCAATGGGTGAAACACAAACACTCAAAACTAAAGCTCTGAATTAACATGATGCCTCAGACAGAATTTTTTTATCATGGATGATTACTTTAGAGTTCAGATATGGCGCTCTATAAATACAGCAGCAAGGAGACAACAAGCACTCCGGTAAAATGTACATTGGAACACAAAATTTAAACTTTGAATTGAGCGCTTAAACATGGTAACAGTCAGATTTAAAGCAAAGATAGCTCTGTGAAGCAAGACGTTAAGGGATTAACTTTACACGGACCAACTGCTGATCCAAACACATCGTTAAGCATATATCCAGTCTTTGTACAAAATATAAGGAATACTTGTATTATACATCTCCAGATCAACAGGGTTAGAAATCCTTCTCCAGCTTATTTCCTATGTTTATTTCCAGATAATGTTCAAAGTGGATTTATCGGGTAAATCAATACAGCATGAAGGCCTTCATCTTAACTTAATCTGACCAGATTACTCCTCAGGAGCAGCAGGTGTTCTTAATATCTCGTACACTTGGTGCATTTCAAGTATCATTTCGGTGTAAACGATGTCTTGATGAGATGGGGAAGGTGGAGGAGCAGCGCTGTTGGCCAGGGTTGGGCTAATCGGACCCACAATCAGGCTTGAAGCACTATTAATCATGCTTTCTACTACAGTTCAGTATCAGTCTCCACTTATCTTTGAATGGCTGAATTCTAGTGGTCTATAGATCATTGTACAAAATGCCCTATCTTAAATGGGATCTTTTCTGTACAACGGGCGTGTATTATTAATTGTTTCTACAGGAGCATTTAACATGAATGAAACATGAGACATATTATATTTGGCACAAAAAGGCGAGTTGGGTCTGGAATTATCTCTACATATATTTCAGACTTCTCAGTGTTGCATTATTAAAGAGCTGGACCCTCACCTTGTAGTATTTCAGAACATCTTCATTAAACAAAATAACTCATGATGGTGAGCTTCCAGTGGAAAAATGAAAAGAATGTTAAAGTCTTAAGTGTTGTCCTTTTAAAAGGCAGTAAGAAAAGGTTTAACAACACAAAGTCCCATGTCTCTGCTTCAAATGGCAATGTCACTCCAAGCCCATGATATGTACTGCGAATAAGTCTTCTTCGTTTTGTCTTGTCTCATCACGTGCTATCCCATTATATTGTGGATTGCATTTCATTGATGTTGAGCTGCTCCGGTTACTTTTCAAGTTGAGTCATTCTCGGCTGAGTTCTCTTCAGAGCACCATTCATGCCACACACAAATTCAATATAAGCACCGACTACAAAGACAAACCTTTACGCAGCGTAAAATAATCGGCTGCAGATTCAGTAACCGTGATGTTCCAAATCCTCTTCCTCTCTCTGTCTGTAGGAGTGTTTTAGAAGTTGGATGTTTGCCTGTTGGCGTTTCTTCTGAAAAATATTCTGACATTGGATTCAAAAATCGTGCTTTGGGTGATCTGCTGTTTCAAGCGTGTGTTATATGTACTTTTGTATATGTGTGTATGTTTCTTTGTGTATTGTCATATAAAGTAGGTCCATAAAGTCTGCATGTCTCTGTCTATGTCAGTATGTGGGCTTAGTGGACATGTACACGTGTATGAATGTACTGTGTGTATGTAGCTGTGTGCATGTCTCAGCTCTCTGCAGACATGACAGAGATTATCTGCTCCACTTTATATGCCAACTTCTGCTTCCTGGCCTGTTCATCCTGCTTCAGTGCCTCGGTGATCTAAAACACACACACATATAGGTGCAAACTATGAAACCAAAGACATGAGGCATATCATAGGTCAGCTATAGAAACCGCACAGCTACACACGTGCACATTATGAATCAAAGAAATACACAACATATCTACACCAACCGCTTCTAGTAATTCTACTTTGATGATGAGATATACAGCTTACTGCACTGAAAAATTTTCTGAATAATTTTTGGTCAGTTAATTATAATGAATCATCACTGATTTGATTAGATTTCAGTTTATATAAATATTTGCTAAAGCTTTTCACACAAAACATGCCTCTTCTAGCTGCTCAGATGGCTAGGTTTGCTGCTTTTCTCAGTTTTATATCATTCTAAATAAAACATCTAAATATTTGTGGATTTTGAACAGTTAGTCTGCATCTGATCCACTGCTGATATAAATATATTGATTATACCTGCTTTAATATATAAAAATCTGATAGCTTCAGTTTGCTAATCACTCCAGAAGGACCTGTACAGCACATTTCCATGTCAGTGTGTTGACTGGCCCTCACCTCTTGGCTGTACTTGCTGACGTAATGGTAGACCTCATGGAGGGCACTGAGCACGTTGAACTCACTGGAGTGGAGGCGAGCCTGTTCAGCCAGATAGGCATTCATGTCCTGATCACTGATGGCAGGCAGGCGGTTGATGTCGGCGTAGTATCTGAGAGGAGACACACACACACACACACACACACACACACACACACACACACACATTGTCAGTGTCAGGGGCACAGTCATGCATACCAGAGCTTTTCTCCCTTCACTTGGATTCAGTTTGTTGTGAAAACTCAAAGACCATCCAATGTTAAAGGTGTCTGTACATCAGAAGTGTTTTGGCAGGAAAATAAGGAAATCTGTCACTCACAGGTTCAGTCATTTAGTAATACTCACAGAGGGCTTTCACATACCTGCACACTTTTCTATACAGGCACAGCTTCATATAGCTATACATACAAAGACCTCCATTTGACCACATATACTGTTCTCTTATTCATACCCTATTATGTTTTATTATGAGTTAAAAAGATTTACAGTTTGGATTTCTGTGCAGTCACATCCATATATATTAGTAATAGTAGTTGCTGAACTGTGTAGTAACATCATAACTACATACTAGTACAAAATACAACATGAAGTTACAAAGGCTGCAAAAAGTCATACTGTACAGTTCGTCACCTTACCTTACAGCCTCACATAGTAATGATGAGTGTAGTGACAATTCTCAGTGAGAAAGTTATTTTATTGAGTCATTCAGCTCTAAAACTTATCTGTATCTGTTTCACCTTACTCCTAAAACAGTGCCTTAAATCAACTAATAATAAGCTTTAACATAACAAACCTAATTCTTAGTAATGTACTCTAACTAAAACAAACGTGAATTCGAACCTTCACCTAAAACAGAGACCCTGATTCTTAACTGATGCTGCGTAGACGTGATGACAACCAAAGAGTTTCCAGGTTGGAGAGTCTTTGTGAGGGCTTTTGTATTTGCATCTGTACACACACAAGTGCTCATACACACCTTTCTACCCAGCTTTTGTAATGTGGTATGTCCTTGGCATAGAGTAGTTTGGTTGATGGTGAGTCTTTGCCCAGACGGTGTTCAGACGTTGAGCAAGAGTCCATAAAGGTCTGGGCCACCACAGACAGACAGGCATCTGTGATGCTGCTTTTGTGAATGTCAAACACAAACTGGGGATTCTTAATCACGTTTACCCAGAAACGCAGGGGCAGGCTGTGGATATCGGAAAAACGGTAGAGACAGAAACATAGAGTGGTCAAAAACAAAGTCACTTAATGTGTAAAAATATTCCTTTTCAGTTTGCTTTTGATCAGTGTATTATTGACTTCTGTAACTCACTCAGGTACGGGAACAAGATGTAGGTGGAGTCTGTTTTAGAGCTTTAAAAACTGGAGTTACAAGACTGTAAAATAACGATCAGTACCAAGTCTTTCATAGAGGGGTATAAGTCAGCCAAATAACAGACCTCTTTATAACACCCGTCTATATAATGCAATATAGGTCAACAGCAGCACAAAACTGTAGCCTCCACCGAATGAAAGACTTACTGTCTGCCTTAAGGGTGTCGGGTATAATAGGTAGGAAATATTGAGCGTTCACTTGCTCTGTAGGTAATAACTAAAATCTGGAAACAATTCTGAGTTTTATATGAAGCCACTGCAAACAGGTTTAAATTGGGTTGTTACAGCACTGGGCCAGAAATCGATCTCACCAGTTGCTCTTCCACGTGTGGCGAACGTCCATGTCATGGATACCATGTCTGTCAGCCTGCTCATCCAGAAAGTCAAACATGTATTTGATCGCCAGAGGCAGGGCAGTGCCTCGACATACAGTGCTGAAAAGAGTCTCAAACAGGTCATCCACAAACTTTTGCAGCGTGCCCTGTAGAAAAAAGCATAAGTTCAGACTCGTAGCTGTTCTGTTTTACGCTTACAGTAAATCTGTGTGTTTTACAACCATAAAAACAAAATTTTATAGAAGAATCCCAGGGACAGATTGCTCAATTATTCTTAAAATCTGATGATAAGAACTCCACGCCACTTACTTCAACAGAGCTCCATTATGTTGCTCCAGCATATTGTTACATTATACTGTATGTTAAATTTGTGCACCTTTGTTGCTAGTAGCCTCGTCAGATAGATCTCAGACACCATCTTGCTGCCACGTTCACCTTCTTTCTGGTCCCCATGGTCATGGTTCTTGACTAAGTGCCAAACTTTGACCCCGCTCTCCAGGTCAGGGGTCAGCATGGGCACACGTGAGTGGGGGCTGTCAGGGCTGGTAGGAGTGGAGCGGAAGGATATGTCTACACCTAGATGGTCAAATTTGAGATATGAGACATTTACTGTATGTTCTGAAATGTTTTGTCAAGCAAAGCTCAAATGGAAGGAAAGTCACATTTGGTTCTCAAATTTGAATTTAGGGCAGACTTTTCTCACTAAGATCTGTAAATCAGCACGTTGGCTGTGTGTGTTCAGACTCTATAATCATTTGCTGTCATCATTTCATTGGTTGTCATAGTAATGAACCAGATATGCAGTCGCCAAAGGCGTGCTGTCTATGTGGACTCAGGTTTTCACTTCCTGTCACTATGACTGCATTTACATACACTTGAGAAAGCAGATTACTGTAGGAAACCTGGCTACAGTAGAAATCAGATAACATGGTTACATGCAGTGCAGTCATCTGGGTACTCAATAACCTGAGTATACATGGTCACCTGTGCCACTGCAAGCAGAAAGACATTGGGTCTCATCCACCAACATCTTCCTAAGTGTTTAATTAATTTCTTCTTAAGTTGTTTTTAACAAAGGTCTTAAGAAACATGAACTCGTTCTTAAACCGCAGAATTGTTCTCCCCTCTGTTCTCACATTGATGAATCCCATGTGTTCATAAATTGTACGTGCTAGCCAGTTGTTCCTAATTTGCATAGATTAGCATCCCTCCAATGCCCATAAAAGGGAATGCTACAACGAAAACAGTTAATCTAAATCTAATAATATTGTAGAACTGTAGAACCAAAGAAAACTAAATAACCAGTTATTTCACAAACGTCAGTGCTCAAGTGTAAGTGTGTGCAGATTCTGTTCTTACCTTAGAACAAATCCCAAATAAGAAAACATTGGTGAGTTGAAAAATCTTTGTGAAAACTTCGTAAGTGGGTTTTACGAACAATTTAATTCTTAAGAACATTTGGTGAATGAGACCCCTTGTGTTTGTGTGCCCTCCCCGGTCACTCAGGTTTATAAGTTGTTCTGTTTGGTGATGTTTTACCCGCAATCACGACATTAGCTCCTCATTGATTGATCACAGTTGATTTGAGCCTCCTTTGCCATTTGTGCTATGATTTGGCTGTTTTTATCGTCTTTCTCCCTTAGAAGCACCATGTTGTTCTACTTGGCTTTTAAGTTATGAGGTCAGACTGTTGACTTTACTGGTTTAAATTTCAAAATGTCTGGTACACTCTCCAAATTTAAGATGCACTGCGATTCATCACTGAGTCGCTGTGTAATTGTGGTTTTGACCGGCTCTATTTGTGGCTGCTGGATGCGTGTGCAAAGTAAGGAGTCATCTGGAAAGAATTTACAAGTAACACATTGAGAGACAATTTGTGATGTGATTTTTGTTGTTTGCCTGCTTTTCTTGCCATCCTGTGTGATCCTGATATCTAATATTTGGACATATTCTCATATGTGTTGTGTTTTTTTTAAAGAAGGCACTTGAACCTAATGTAAAATGTCAGTGTGAGCTGCAGTGTCTGGGATGTATCAGATATGAATCTAAAGTTTATACAATATAGGAATACATGACATAGTGGATTATTTCAAATGATGCATATTTGATCTGCTGATCTAAACACTGATATAACAATCTAAAGTCATTTTATAGAGGGAATTTGTCTTGATTTTGAAACTCCTATTGTATCTCTTTGTTTAATGTGCTATATAATAGTGTATGCTAATGTGCTTTACAACAGAATGATGAGTGACAGCAACAGATGGTGCAGCACTGCTGTAAGTGGGATGAATATTCAGTATTTGTATTTCTTAAACAGTACTGACCGTATCTGCTGATACTGCGTGGGAAGCTGGCTGAAGAAGGAATGTTGAACGACAGCATTTGTTTGGGCACCAAGGCCACCACACAGCGGTCAGACACCTGGAAGACAAAGGTAAAGCCTTTCTGCTATTTTTATGAATAGCTTGTACATGTTGGTCAAGTAATCATTGTTAGAGATTAAAAGCCAAGGACACTAGATTTGATAGATTTTTAGGGTGTGAAATTATGATTCAGAGGTTTTTAATGTCTTTGATGAGCAGTTGACTCACAACACTGCAAAAAAACTTATAAAGGGCCTTTAGTTAAAGTAATAAAATATGTAACTGTTACCAGTCAGCAAAGCACTGATCACAACACAAGTAGGACTAAACCTGTCCTTGCTGATTTTATATAGATGTGTAAGTCCAAATACACCGACTTAAACATCGAATGTAAACTGAGGTTTGAACTAAAACTGGAATAAACTAAAGGTTTGTTCAGTTGAATGGACTCAAAGTGAAGGAATCAAATTTATTACACACCAAATCTCAGCTCTTAGACCCACACTTGATGTGTGGCAACCACTTTCCTCATTAAAGATTCAATGACTTGCTAATAACAGACAAATTTCAGTACAACTAAATGAACTCATTTTTCTTCTCGGTGTAGATTTTAACTCTAAAGCATGACTTTGCACTACTAAAACTCAGCATTGCCTTCCTGTGGTGAAGAGGTTGATGTGATTTTGAAACCTAAAACTATTTGTAGTAAAATATGTATGTGTTTGAATTCACTGACTGCTCATTAAACGTACAGTAGGGTCGACATTTTGTGTGTGCAGTAGCTCCAGGTAAATGCTGTGCACTGTGGTTGTGCTTAGCAGACGAGCAAAATTCATGCTTCTTTTCTCCATGAGCTACAAATGGACCAAACCGGCTTTGAAGCCAAAGAAGTATTTCCACACTTGGCAGAGTGTTTAAAAATGGAAGAGTCGAATTATTTATCACCTTGACAGATAAAGAGGGAGTTAAACCTTGTTTAAATGCAGCAAGTGCACGTTACTTCCACTGTCTTTATTTTGCTGTTTGAATAAGAATGCTGTATGAGAATGGTACAGTTGGCCCAAAGCTTATACTCAAAACAAATAGGATGACTCATCCAGGGTTGGTGACCTGTGTGTTTCTGTTCATGAGCCAAAAAGGATGTTGTAAAAGACCCATGCACACAAGCACAAGTTTATTTGACTATGTGTACTTGAACCCATGAGGCTGAAAAAACATTGCTAGGGTGAGGTGGGTGATATGAATTTGAATGAGTAATGCTCTCCCCTTCATTGACAATATCTGCTGTGACACCCTTGAGAAGCCAGATAATCACAGTTTTTAAAAAAGGTTTAAAAGATTCAGGATTCGTAGGTGCAAGACTGCAAGAGCTTCTTTGTCTCCATGTTAATTACAGTTGAAATGACCAGTGGATTGACAGAGTAATAGTCTGAAACTGCTTTGGTCACTTTTTTGCTGCTACGTTTGTTTGTACCAACATCTTAAATGTGAGGACATTCTGCTTTTTGTCTCTTTTGTATCATTGTCATTTCAATATCTTTGGATTCTGGGACTTTCGAGCAATTTGAGTGTGTGATGGGCATTTTTCACAGTCTTCTGGCATCTTAAATGGACTATCAGTTCAGTTTATCAATAATCTGCAGAATAATTGATAGATGTAGCCAAAGTATTAATGTTATTAACAGACCTGATAGTGCATGAGTGTGTTGAGCCTCTTCCAGTCGCTCTCTATCTTGGTAGTGATATCCTCATCCTGGAGGACCAG